TCCCTATGGTGAGACACCTTGCTCAGCCTTGATGCAGGGAGGAGGGGCTTGGTCCTGCCTCAACTTGGTATGCCAGACTTTGTTGACTCCCCAAGGGAGGCCTTACCCACTCTGAGGAGTGGATGAGGTTGGGGTGAGGGGAGGGGAGGGGGAACGAGAGGGAGGGGGAACTGTGAGTGGTATGTAAAATGGAAAAAAATTTAAATAAAAAACCAAACCAAAACAAAACAAAAAACCAAGACTGGAGGGTATAGTAAAAGAAAAGCCTTAGGTTTGGTCCCTAGCACTGAAAAAACAAAGCAACAAACAAAATACAATAAAACAGGAGTTTCCTCCCAAACGATGACAGGGACAGAGAAGAATGGGCACTTACACTCACACTTACCAGATTTTCAAAACAAAGATGTAAACTCAGAAAGACAAATGCTTCATTTTGTCCCTTATATGCAGATCTTAGCGTGTGTGTGTGTGTGTGTGTGTGTGTGTGTGTGTGTGTGTGTGTGTGCTTGCACATGCAAAACCTAAAAATCTAGAAAGAAGACCAGGAGAGGGGTTCAAAAATGTTCAAAGCAGGAAGGGGCAGCAAAAAGAAACATGTGATATAAAAGTGAAACAGAGCTTTGTGGAGGCCACATGGGAAGGAAAAGCGGAGAATCTATTAAAACCCACTTTAAAATGTCATGAAGAGGGCTGGAGAGGTGGCTCAGTGGTTAAGAGGCACTGGCTGCTCTTCCAGAGGACCCAGGTTCAGTTCTCAGCATCTACAAGTTGGCTCACAATTGTCTGTAACTCCAGTCTCAGGGGATCCAATGCTCTCTTCTGGCCTCCTCAGATACTGCGCATGTCTGGTACACAGACATACATGCACATAAAACACACATACACACAAAATAAAAAAAAAGAAAATGCCATAGTGATATCTAATACCTTGTAAACTAATTTAAAAAAATAATTTGAAAATAAATAGATAAATAAATAAAGACATGGTAATAAAGAAAACATAGCAGGCAAATAGATCAGCTAAACAGAATAGCCAGTCCAGGAGGCCAGGCATGTGTGGAAAACTGAACAAGCAGACACTGTATATACATTATTCAGTAAATGGTATGAAAATTAATTATTCATATTGAAAAAATAGAACTGAATCTCTACCTTGAAGCTTGTACAAAAACTAATTCCAGGTGGATTAAGAACTTTATAGAAAAAAGTATATAAAACTTAATGTGGAAGACTATGATCTTACAGGTAAGGAAAAATTTCTTAAATAGATTTTAGTAGGCAAAAACTTATAAAGGAAGAATTAAAAAATTGATTTGCTGTGGAACCTCTCAGAAGAGGGGAGGAAGGACTGTAGGAGCCAGAGGAGTTGGGGACACAGGAGAAAATAATTTTATGGTTGAGGGTCACCACAACATGAGGAACTGGATTAAAGGGTCACAGTGTCAGGAAGGTGGAGAACCACTACCCTGAGTGTTTATGGCCTCATCTGTAGTTGCTGTTGGGTCCTGGAGTTGCATAAATAATGGGGACCAAACCGCCGAAATCTATGAACCAGAAGCAAGCTTTATTCCAAACACCGTGGGGTACCAAAAACTTCTAGCTAGCTAGGGCCGCAGGCAGAATTCGGGCTTCTGATACAGTGACAGGGAGGGAGACTACAGGCCTCTTCTTATAGTAAAAACCATAGGGCAGATGGTGGGTCAAAGGAATTTTTACAATCTTGAGATTAGGCCTTGGGGAGAGTTAGAGGGATCTTTACAATCCTGAGGTTAGGCCCTGAGCCACATTACATTCCGAGATGTACAACTTTTGATTACAGGATGTTAGTTCAAGACATTTTTGAAAGCCTTTGGCTGTCTTGACACAGCTGCTTTCCTCCCACAGATGAAAGAAATGTAGGGCAGAAGGTCACATAGAGGCAACCGTTAAGGGTTAACCTCTGTCCACAGCAGCTGTCAACTCCAGTTCTCCTAGGATATGTGTATAGGCTATAAGCATACAATTTTCCATATTCCTGGGCTCTTCAGTTGCAAACAAATGCCTTGCAGCAGCACAGTGAGGAACCAAAGATTCTTGCTTAAATACAGGTGGATTTTTATTTTTTTTATTTTTTTAAAGATTTATCTATTTATTATGTATACAGTGTTCTGCCTGCATATATGGCTGCAGGCCAGAAGAGGGCACCAGATCTCATTACAGATGGTTGTGAACCACTATGTGGTTGCTGGGAATTGAACTCATGACCTCAGGAAGAGCAGCCAGTGCTCTTAACCACTGAGCCATCTCTCCAGGCCCCTAGGTGGATTTTTAAAAGTTAGAGAAGGAGGTAATTCACAGAAAAGCAAACATAGTGATTCTGTTTTTGTAAAAATGAAAAACTAAAAAGAAATTGTTACAATCATATAGTTGGTGTCTTAGTTAGAATTCCTTCTGCTGTGATGAAACACCATGCCCCAAAGCAACTCAGAGAGGAAAGGGTTTATTTCACTCAGTTCCATATCACAGTTCATCATTGATGGAAGTCAGGACAGGAACTCAAACAGGGCAG